TAAAGGACATCATCACTAAGTTTGACTGCTAAGAGCAGGTGTGAGACTGGTGATTTTCATTAAATAAAACATAAACAACCTTCAGCTCAACCGACTGTCCCAGACTTGACTGGGTCACAAAGCCCTTTCTTTACATAGCTAAGTCCGTCAGCACAGAATTTCAAAAGCTTACTCAAGCACACATTGCTCAAGGAGATATATGTTTCAAACAATAAATTAATGTTAGTTCTCATTCTCAATCGTCACAAATATATATTTTTATTCGTAAGATATAACAGACTAGGGAGAATATGTTTTAGTTTAGTTTTAAATATTCACAGACTAGGGAGAAAAACTAGTTTGCAAATCAATCATGTTTTTCATTTAATGGCATCAAAAAGCAATCAACTTTCTATAAAATGCAGAAGAATAAAGTGTTCATTTTAATACAGGAGGTTACTCTTTTCTCCACATCTTTTCAAAACAACAAGACTCCTCCAATATAATTTGTGAGAAACCATGAAGAGCTATCCTTAAATTGGAAAAAAAAAATCTAACAGTTTCATAATTGATGCTATCCTAATTTCTACATATATTTAGCGATATTAAATTTTCAATTTATAAGACACCTAGTCAAAGTGATACAAAACTATCCCTCTTTTAAAAAAAACAATAATTTTCCAATTATAAAACTTTATTAACTCAGATTGCAAATTCAAAAAGGGAGATCATCAAGGCCTGAGCTAAGCTGAGCCCTCCCTCTCTACTACATCTCAGGCAAATTTGGAATAGTTTTTGAAAGATGCTAGTGAGAAGTTTAACCTACTTCAGTGAATTGTTAGTAGGGACCTTAGCACATTATCTGATGCAAACTATTGCTGTTCAGTTGTTTCAGTCATACCCAAGTCTCCATGACCCCATTTTGGGGTTCTCTACGCAAAGACCCTGTAGCGGGTTTGCCTTTTCCTTCTCCAGCTCATTTTACAGATGAGGAAACTGAGGCAAACAGGGTGAAATGACTCATCCAGGGTCAGACAGCTTGTTGTTCATCCTTTCTTCTGGAAGAGGACCAGTGACAAGTGTCTGAGACTGGATGTGAACTCCCTGAAGATGAGTCTTCCTGATTCCTAGGCCAGTGCTCTGTCCATTGTACCACCTAACTGCCCCATCTGATACAAAAGGATGCTACTAATTATAAGTTGCACTTATTCAACTATGCGGGCCTTTTGAAATTCCTATTTTGAAGCAACTTGCTAGCTATTAGTTCCACTTGCTATGTATATTGGTAATAATAAAAATTCACTTTGAAAACATGCCATAACTGAATTTTTTAGTAATAAGTGACAAAAATTTCTTTAAGTGAGGAGATTTTTATATAGTTTCAACTAAAACATATCAAGTGAGGAAATCTTGTAGCAATAAATATTACATGTAAGTGAAAAAAGATGCCACTCTTCTATCTAGGTTATTATTACAACTAAGAAGAAAAGTAACTTTTAGAGATGTTAAGAGAGGGTCTGAGTGAATTCTTCTCAGGATATAGGCCTTCCATAATCTGGGCCCAGGCTTGGCTTTCCAGGTTCTTCTCTATTCCCCAAAATGACAAGAAGACATGATAATTGGCATTTCTACAGCTCACTATGTTTGCAAAGTGCTTTAGAAGTATTATCTCACAACAACAACTCTGTTAAGGTAGGTGCTGTTATATCTCCATTTTAGAGATCAGGAAACTGAGTTAAGTCACTTGCTTAGGGTCACACAGCTAATAAGTGTCTGAAGCTAAATCTGAACTCAGGTCATCTTGGCTCCCAGACCATCTTTCACTCCCACTGCATCAGGGAGCTGCCCAGTTCCCTCTGCTCCCCTCCCCACTTCTGCTGGTCTACTGATGGTCCACAACTAAGTCTTGCAGCCGCAATGCTTTTGTTCATGCTCTTCCCCCTCCCTAGACGGATCTGTCAGGCCCTTTCTTTTCTCCTTATCTACATCCCACTCACCCTTCAAGGTTCAGCTCAACTTCCACTTTTTGAGCAAACCCACAAAAAATTGGAGGGAGTGAACCTTTCCCTTGTGCCCCCCAAACCAGAAATCTCTCCCCCCTCTGAACACCATGACCTTTCTCCTACTGACGCTGCCCCTTATCATTTATTATTCTGTATTTTGGATAAACTTTCCCCAAATCCGAAGCTTCTCTCTTCAGCCAGACTCCAAACTCCTCAAAGGCAGCCTACTCTCAGCCTTTCCTTTGTATCTTCCAACACACCTAAGACAACAGACATACCTGACGCTCGCTAGATGGGGCTGATTGATCGAATTCTAGTTACCAGTTCTCACTAGCTACCAAGGTCCAATCTAGTTGCTAGATTGGCTGTTGTTAGCTTGCAACAGCACCCCAGTTCTCCCTTTCACCAGGTGTTGGTTGGATAGGGCTCATGCATGCTCCAAGCTCCTATTTTGTTTCAAGATTCCTACAATTCTTACTGAGCCGCGAGGTGGCGCCACAGCGCACAGAGCTCCTGGCCTGGAGTCAAGAAGACTCCTCATCCTGCCTTCAAGTTTGGCCTCACTTATGTGACCCTGGGCAAGTCATTTCACCCTGTTTGCCTCAGTTTCCTCCTCTGTAAAATGAGCTGGAGAAGGAAATGGCAAACCACTCCAGTATCTGCCAAGAAAACCCTAAGTGGGGTCACAAGGAGGTGGACACAACTGAAAGGACGAAACAACAACAAAACAATCCTTACGGGCAATAAACCAAGTTGACATTAAAACCCAGAGAGAGAGTTCATCATCCCACAAAACACATGTGCCTAATGCTATATATTGGCTAGTCTGCTGCTCAGATGTACTCGTTCAGTCGTGTCTGACTCTTTGTGACCCCACTTGGGGTTTTCTTGGCAGAGATACTGGAGCGGTTTGCCATTTTCCTTCTCCAGCTCATTTTACAGATGAGGAAACGGAGGCAAACAGGGTAGAGTGACTTGCCCAGGGTCACACAGCTAGGAAGTATCTGATACTAGATTTGAACTCAGGTCTTCCTGACTCTCTCCACTGACCCAGTGCTCTCTCCACTAAGCCATCAACTGCCTCACTGTATATGCCATTCATTGTTTAAAACCACTAATAAAGGTGAGGTTGAAATAAACTAATGCTCTAAGCACAAATCAGCTTCTCTTGTACTTACGGTACTTTAATTGCTATGGGTACAACACGTGGAATACTCAAGATAAACAACGTGTTAGCATTTGGTTTCCTTAGAGTTTAAACTGTTTAACATGAAGATGAATCACATTCTCTGGATTTTGTTTATTCTGGTCTTGGAAATAAGAATACCCAGGCTAAACCAAAAGCAGGTACCTATCTGGGCATAAAAAATGACAAGCATGAACACTGCCAGCTGGGGTTACAGGAAAAACACAAACAACAGATCTGTGAAGTGTGGGCAGAAAGGATGTTTAACCCCTCCCTCCACATGATCCCCGGTCTTGACAAGCATCCCCCTTCAATCCCACCTCCAACATTCTCCAATACTCTGGTCTAGTTGGCTTTGGCTTTGCAGCCCTATAGCAAGTAAAAGAGAGACACTTGTAGGACCCTGGCAGCTGTCTGAAACAAGTTAATTTAGCAACCTGTTTACAGCTGGAGAGAAAACCTATCCCAACACAGATGCCAACTTGGCAAAAGCTTAATGAAATCCTGCAGGGTCATCCTGAGTTCCAATGGTTAGCAATAAATACTCACCACCCCCATGTGCACGTGCTGCTACAATCCCAAGCAGCGTGTGCAGCCGTTCACAGTTTGGGTTACTTAGGCTCAGACATCGATCTATCTTCAGGGAATTTAAGCTCAACAACTGGGCTGTACCCCCACCCCATGGAGAGCAGACCTTACTGAAAGGGTTTATGCACTCCCCACCTCATAAAGAAAAGGAAGTGCTGATGGGAAGGAAGAAAACTAAGAGCTTATTCACCTGATACCCAAATACCTCGCATGAGACAAATTCCACAGTTTGGAACCTTTTGTGGAATGTGTTTATGCCACATAAAACTGCTTCCACGAGACTCAAACTATTAGCAATGGCCTACACAACTCCCTGCTGTACACATACAAGCTTCAAGGCTTATTGCAATGTATTTTTGCAGATAGGGTTATTTGATCTGGTCAAATTAAAACTCCAGAGGTGCAATTCCAAAGCACCAATCACTAAGGCACATCTGAAATGAGGACTGTGAGGGTAACAATCGCTGAAGATTACCCTCAGATAGACATCAAGAGGGACTGGACTCAGAGCAAGCCCTCGAAGGACGTTCAATCAACTGTACTGGAAAAACTTCCTTGATTTGCCTGAATGTGTTTCGGTCACTTGACTGGTGTTGATTACAAGACCGGTGTTGATTACAATTAATCACTTTACAATGAGAAGCTTATGTAAAAATATTCAGATGGCAATATTCCAATCATCTTTTCCTGGAATATAAGGCTGAGCTAATGGAATTCACAGTGCCAATATATTTAAAAACTCATCAACCCTTACCAAAGAAATAGGCTAGAATTGAAAAGTGCTCAAGCTGAGAATTTTAGAAAATTGTACACCAAAAAAATCATTAGCTTAAGATGCTTAATACTGGCCAAATTCATTTAACGTAACTACTCAAATGAAGCTGGTGCCTTTATTCTTACTCAGCATTATCAATGCACGGTAAGTCAGATGTTACTGAGGTACTCAGTGATCACCTCAAGGTGTTGAAGGAAATACACGTAACAAATACTGTACTCTGTTCTTGAATTAAGTAGCAATTACTGCTAATCTGTTTCTTTGAAAACAAAAATATCTGGTATCGAAATGTTTCCTGATGCAGCAAAAAGAATCAGGTGTTCAATTCAGATTTAGAGCTACAGAACAATTCAGAAAATATAAATTTCGTTCAGGATAGCATGGCTTTAAAACTCTCAATCTATTTTAGGAGCAAGCGGATAGACAGTAACATTTGATACACGAGGAATATTCATGACTTCATGCTTACATGAAATTCAGTTGTGTTGAGAATGTGACGCCCATCTGGACTCCAACATGAAGCCACCAGTCCAGCCGAGCCTTCGTCTATCTTACAGTGCCATTCAGGCTGTTCTAAGGACCAGACCTCCATTCATTCAAGAGAGACAGAGAAGGAAAAACTGATCAGTCTATCAAAACTCATCTCCTCAAGAAACCAAAAAACAGGAAAAGGAAGAGCTGATCATCAAAAAATCACGCATCACAGAATTCAGGAAAACAGTCAACATCTGGCATCATGAAGGACTGGCGCTGGATTCCACTACAAAAGTAAGCCATAACTCTTGGTGATTACATCTACTTTATTTAACATTTAATGAGTGGAAGGCATCCTTAATGATTCATTCACCAAAAACTTCAAGTTACTAACAAAATGGCTGCATATGACATTTTTGAAAAATATATACCACCCAAATTGCTGACTAATGATTTATAAATATTTCTAATTCTTAACCTGATTTCACCTACATAAGGAATATTTGTTTTATGTTTGTATTTGTTTATTTATATCATATACACACATCTATATGTGCTTGCATATGTACATATACATATGCATGTATATATATACGCAAATATATTTATGTATATAAATTCTGTCCTAGCTTCGGAAAAAATCAAGAGTTGTTACATGAGCTCTAAAATATAGACTTTATTTCCAATCGTTTTGCCAAATTTATTCTGGCATAGACCCGAACAACACAGCTTTTCCAAAATAAATGACTGGGAGTTTTAAAACCCCAGTGGAGCACATGGGTTCAGATAAAATCGCACTTACCTGTACCAGCCCTCGTTTGTACATAGCACACAGTATAAAGAGGGAGTCTGCTGACCACTCCAGGTGATGGATCTGGTCCAGGCATGTGTACAGCTGAAATATTTGGAGAGTGCTCACATCTCGAACCACTAAACGGTACTGGACACATGAAGCCTAAATGTGAAAAAGGTTAAGCTTTATAAACCACATACCAAAGTAATAAATGTCTTAAAAGGTCAAGATTTTTGTAAAGGGCAAATCAGTCTGCTTCTGAACTATTAATAAGTCTTACACATACTATATTTTACGTCTATGAGTTTTTGCTTATTTTGAGCGATACAATCCATTGTAAAGATAAAAATGTTTAAACCAAAGAAAAAGGGGAAAAAAGGGGGAAAAAGGGAGGCAGGGGGAGGGAAATAACTCCTGCAATCCAGATTTGAAAATTCCTTTGCAGGGGCAGCTAGGTAGAACAGTGGATAGAGCTCTGGCCTTGGAGTCATGAGGACCTGAGTTCAAATTCGGCCTCAGACACTTAACACTTACTAGCTGTGTGACCCTGGACAAGTCACTTAACCCCAATCACCTCACCAAAAAGCAAAAAAAAAAAAAAGAAAAAAGAAAATTCCTTTGGAGGATAGCAATCTCCCCCCCATAACATCTTTAACAACTCAAAAACTAAATGTATGACCTTGTACTTCTCTCCCAAGTATATTCTATGGGCTAGACTTGGCAGATAAAAGAAATAGAGTGGTGCATTAGATTAAACAATGAACCAGAAAGGAGGGACCGGGTCCTACCACTGTTTGTCTTTGAGACAATTTAAAAATAACAACAGGAACCTACCTCACAAGGCTGTTAAAAGGAATACCTAATAAAAATGACTAAAACTATTACTAAGTGCCAGGATAGTACTGTAGATGGTATATATTCGATTAATATTTGTATAATTTAAAATTGTGAATATATTATGCAGATATACATTTACCTAAAACAATATCTAATACAAAATTAGCAATTATGCTTAATGATCAGTATTCTTTTATTAAACAAATATCTACTGTTTTTATTTCCATAAATATTTATAAAGGCTATGTCTACAGGCAAAAAATAATTCATTTGTGCCTCAGTTTACACATCTGAAACCAAATGGTTAATACTACCCTTCTACAATGTACCTTACAGACATGTTAAAAGAATAGAAGAGATATCTGTGAATCAGTCTGAGCTCCTCACTCAAAAGAAAGACATTAAGATGTCATATTTGATAAATAATTTAAATTAATCTGGGGGATCCTACTATTAAAAAGTGGTATGTGATAAGTTCACAATAACACAAAAATATAGTTTTAGTTGTCTCATATACATAACACTGACAGTCTTTTAACATACCTAGAAATGTGTAATGAAATGCCCCTTGGAGTAGTTGGTAAGAGTGCTGGATTTCAAAGTAGACTTGAATTCTAGTCCCATGTCTAATACTAGCTGTGTGCCCAGGAACAAGTTACAGGTTCCTGTCTTCGCTTGAGGCAACTCTCAAATTATAAGTTATAGTGGAATTGCAATATGCCTGGGGTGGAGGGAGTTTCCATACCTGAAGTCCCCAAACCAATAAAATTACAGTCCTTTAAGTAAGAATGTGAAAATTTTTTATTCATGTTCTCAACAGAATCTAGTACATTAGAACCCCATTATTCAAGTTCTATGAAAACGGAAACTGTTCATTCCATATTTATTGAACACCTATATCTGTGCCATATTGACTCACTTATAATAGATTTAGATATTTTACGCAAAAGAGTCAGTCTAAGTCAACATACTGATTTGGCCTGTCTTCAGTTATACACTGGGAAGAAATTATAATGTATTTTTGTTATTTTTCATACATCAAAGTAAAATGTATATTTTGTTCATAGTACAAATAAAAACATGAGAAATTATAATAAAGAGGTAATAAATACAGGTGGATTTATGCTATATTTATTCATAATAGAAGACTCCACTGTGGTTAAGAATGGAAATTAAAACACACAATTTTAACTTTAGGATAAATATACTTCAACTCAAACTATTTTTCATAAAATTGAATTTCAAAGTTACCTAAGTTTATACTACATAGCCTGAATTAAATGTCCAAAAAACTAGGTAACTATTAATGGTTTAGTTAAAAAACTGGAATTTATTTGAGAGCAGTTGCATTATTGACTTACTCTAAATAAACTTGCAATTTTAAGAGCATTTGTTGTGCATAATAATGCCCACTAAAGATTTTTTTTCAACGCTTATCATACGTAAGGTCAGTAACAATTTAGAGCGGGAAAGGGTCGAGGTTGTTATTTTGTTTACTTATACTAGACTGTCTCTGTAGCCCAGGAGAAAAGCCAGCTAATTACATGTGCACTACCAATACATTTTGTGTATGTATCTGCAAGACTCAGATTACTCAGAAAAATCTATTCTAAAACATTTATGTTATATGAACCCAAGCTTCTAAAAAATGTGAGTGTTCCATTAGCATCAGCTATATTTTAACTAAGCATCTTTTAGAAAACATGGGAAAACTACTGTTACTCATCCTTTCTTTATGATATGAGATCTTTTTATCAACACCTGAAAAAATATACATTAATGATAAATTCAGCTTTCTCTAAGGTATCTCAAACTAGTAATATGCTACCATTTCATTCAAGCACTAAATTGGGGCAGATCCTTCAAGAGTATCAAAGTATTAGATTAATCTGAAAGACAAGTCTTCCATCTAATGTTTTAACTAAGCATCAAAAACAGTAATGACAAGAGTGCCAAAATTAGGCAAGCATCTGTTATCTCTCTTTACACACACTACATACAAATGTCACAGTCGGCACCAAATTGTAATCACTTGTTTATACTAACTGAATGGACACACCAATCTCATTCCCCAAACACAAGCAAACAAAGAAAACCTTAAGGGACAGTTCCTGAGGTGCTGTTTGACTAACACCTGAATGTTAAATTTTCTGCAATTTCAGATCAAACAAAAAAAAGATAAAAATATAAATTCATTAAGTTGCAGTTGTCAGAATCTAGGCTAGACAAAATGTGTACAGTGAGGCCAAAGCTGTTGAGTTAGCACTAATGGCATTGTTACTTATTAGAATGACAGACACCCAATAAATTTCTGTGTGGAATTTATGAGTTAAGACAGGTGATGTCTCAAATTAGGTTGGTTTTTTTTTCTATTACTCCAAAGATATTATACAATTATAATGGCATATATCCAAAGCTAAATTCTGTATCCAAGACAGAGTTTTGTAGTATAAGCACAAGATTTGCAATCCCTGGAATGAAAAGTTCAAATCCCAGTCATCCTAAAAACTCTTTTCCCTCGCCAGGACAGAATGTAAGCCACTTAAATCATTTACTTCGAATGTTCTAGAGTATAGAAAGAAGGGATAAGGGAAAGTAAAGTGATCAAACGTTTACATTTAGCAAAAGTGAACAAAAAACACTAGTTCTTGGCACTTCTTCGTAGCAGAAGAACTAGATTCCAGGGGCTTTGGTCACAGGCACAGCAAATTTGAATTCCATGACAACTGCTGGCCAACATCACTCAACCACATGGATGGATGACTTTTTAAAATTTTATTTTAATACCAATAGCTTATGTGTATTAGAAGAAATGTTGAGTCAAGAAGTTTTTCCTCCCGTCACAAGTGATACAAGGAATTAGGGGCCATCTGAATGGCAATGACCCAATTCTGTTATCAGACCAAGTGACCTAAAGTTATCCTTGATCTACTCATCTTGAGAATATTGGAGCCAGCACTTTGTAGCATTTTTGTTTTTAACTTTCTAACATTTATCAGATAATATTCTATTAAAATTAGTGTTTTACCCTTATTAGACTGAAGCTCAGTGAAGGAAGACACCGTGTCTAATATAAATTTTGCATCTCCTCCAGCATCTAGCTCAGCGTTCTGTATCAAGTAGGCACTTAATTAACACACAGGTGTTTTGGTGTGAAAGGAAAAAAAAAAGTATGGGGCCTTAGGGATCACCTGACCCAAGAATACAGATTTAAAGTAAGCCCTCAGAAGTAATCTAGTCCAACTACCTCATTTTACACAGAAGGAAACTGAGGCTCAAGCAGGGGAAGTAACTTGTTCGAGGTCCCACAGACAGCAGTGGGCAGAACTAGGTCTGTAACCTGGGTCCTCTGATTCTGATCCAGCACTTTTCCTACTACACCAAGGACCTAACCAAACCCCCTCAGCTTACGGAGGGGGAAAATGAAGCCAAGAGAAGTCAGCTGGCTTACTCAATGTCACACATGAAGTCAGTGGCATTAAAACCCAGCCTTCCTGGCTTCTAGTTCAGGGTTCTGAACTACTCATCTGAAATCGAAGAACAAAGCGTGACCAGCAATGGCCTAAGTGACCACAGACAACTCACCAGGAATTTCCCATTGGGAGAGAATTTGCTGAGCTGATTTGAGAGCTTAAACACTTCAGAGAAATTCATAACTGATGCAAGTGCTGCAGCTGGCCAATAAACTAAGGCTCTAAGGGCCCGAGAGACTCTGGAAGGCAAAGGCAACAATGCTTCTTCAGGCTGTAGCTGAGATAAGAGCTGGCAACCCCTTGGAGGAACAGGATGTGCTCCAGCACCCAATGGCTGAGGGGGCCTCATACCATCTGAAAAGGACAGGGCCAGGACTCAAACACAGGACAGTGCCTCTGCTGACTTGGGGGGAAAGGGGGGAGGAAAAAAAAGCAATCAGGTAGCTGACTGTCCCAGAGAGAAATCCTGAAGGGACCGATGGGCCCACATTGTACAGCCTTGGGGGTCTGTCACACACAGGAAGACCTCTAGCTACAACAAGAGAAACACAGGGACATTCAGACAAAGTAATGAGGGGTTAAGGTGGAGGAGGCTGAAGTAGGGACAGAGAATGGCACAGTGCCACCCACCAAGAGAGGGGGAGAATGAACCTCCTCTCCCTTATTCACAAAGACCTTACTACTTACAAAGAAAGTATAGGATATAGGAAGCTCTGTAAGTCTCACACATTTAACAGCCAGTCAACTACCATTTATTAAGCACCTACTATGTACCAGGCACTGTGCTAATCGCCAGGGAGACAAAAAACAAAAAGGCAAAAGATCATCCCTCAAGAAGCTGACAGTCTAAAGAGGGAGATAATCTGCAAACAATTATATACAAACAGGATACAGACAGTATAAACTGGAGGTGATCTCAGAAGGCAGTAAGATGAAGGAACACTGGATAAGGCATACAGATATTGTCATAAAGGGCAATCCTGGGTGAGGGGAATCCCAGATTGCTTCACTCCCTCAAGCAGACACAGACAGTCCTGGGAGTTAATTTGGGTGAGGGAGATGGGGGAAGACAGTTAAATTATCAGCCATGGAGAGTTTAGGAGGGAAACCCAAACAATCTCTCATAAGTGGAGACACAGCTAATGTGACACAAGAGCCTGGAATGAGTGTAAACTCCTTGTGGGCAGAGACTTTGTCCCTTTGTCTTCAGTGTCCCTATCCCTTAACCCAAAGCTTCACACATAGTTGCACTGCAAGGTATTTAATAGATGCTGAAAAAATGAGGAGGGCCCCAATAGTTTCTCTCCAACAAGAACAAAGATACCTCTATAGACAGGAAAAGTCATTGGAGACAGGAGTGGGCACCAACAACCTCACATGGAAAAGGAACCTGGGAAGAGGGTGCAGGACAGTGTCTTATACAAACACACAGACAGACACAGACAGAAGCAGGGAGCACCCACGTGACATGGCTCAGTCTGCCCCTGCCTCCCTGCCTTGTTTCTCTCCCTATCTCCTTGTCTCTCTCTCTCCCTGTCTTTTTTTTTGGTCTTTTTATCGCTTCTCTCTCCTTTTTTTCTTTCCTATCACTTTATTTCTCTTTTTTCTCTCTTACCTCTTCTTTTTCTGTCTCCCTCTCTTCTGTCTCTCTCTCCATCTCTGTTTTATCTCTTCTTTGTCTCTTTTTCTCTCCCACCTTTTCCTTTTCCCGTCTCTCCCTCTCTTTTTTTCTGTCTCTCCTCTTTTCTCTCTCCCCATCTCTTTATCTTTTCTGTCTTTTTCTCTCTCCCATTTTTTCTTTTTCCTCCACCTCTCTCCCTGTCCCTTTGTGTCCTTATCTCTTCTTTCTCTCTCCCAATTTTCTTCTCTCTCTCCCTTCCTCTTTTCTGTCTCCTTATCTCTTCCTTCTTTCTTTGTCTCTCCCTTTTTCTCTCCCTCTTTCTCTCTTCTGTCTCCCCCAGTCTCTGGCCCCCTCCTCTCTCTCTGTCTCTGTCTGTCTGTCCCTCTCTCCCTTCTCTGTCTGTCTCTCTCTCTCCCTATCCCTGTCTCTCTCTGTCTCTGTCTCTCTGTCTTTGTCCCTGTCTCTCTCTGTCTCTGTCTCTGTCCCTGTCTCTCTCTGTCCCTCTACCCTTCTCTGTCTCTCCCTCTCCCCCTGTCTCTCTCTCCCTCTGTCTCTGTGTATCTGTCTCTGTCTCTCTTTCTCTCTCTGTTTCTCTCTGTCTGTCCCTCCCTCCCTCCCTCCCTCCGTCGGTCCGTCTGCCCCGGGTCCCGGGAGGGCGGACGAACGGCCGCGGCCTGCGGGGAGCGGCCCAGGCCGGGCCTCGGGGAGGACGGGAGCCCTCACCGGTCCCCGCGGCGCCGCCGCCTGCTCGTCCCCCTCCTCCTCGTCCCCCTCCTCCTCGTCCTCCTTCTCCGCCGCTGCCGCCTCCTCCGCAACCCCCGGGCCGCTGCGCCAGCAGCCGAACCAACCGACAACTGGCCGGCAGCGGGCCGGAAATGGAGGAAGGCGGGAAATCGTCGTCAGCCTATCAGGGGGCCATGGCGCCGAACGGCATTGTGGGGGTTGTAGTTTTCTGCCGCCGGCTCGCCCAGCCCTTCGGCTTAGCGAGGAAGGAAGGAGGGGGGAGGGGAGGGGCAGGGAGGGGCCAGGCTGGCTCGGTTGTCGCGAGGGGGAGGGAGGGGGAGGGAGGGGGCGGGAGCGAGGCGAGAGGGAGGAAGAGGAGGAGGGGAGAAGGGAAAGAAGGTGCGAGCCCACTGGCCGTCGGTCTGAGAGCCGCCTCACTCGCGTTCTCAGCCACGCGCCCCACCCCTCTCTGGGCTGAATGAATGAATGAAGGACTGAATGGTTACACATTTACGCACAGCGGAATACAAACACAAAAATGAAACCAGTCCCCGCCCTCGAGGAGCCTCCATTCTAGCAGCAGGGTCACAGATTTAGAGCTGGAAGGGATCTTAGAGGCCGTGGAATCCGACTTCCGCCCCCACCCCTGTTTTGCAGATGAAGAAACTGAGGCCCAGAGGTGAAGTGCCTTAAATGCAGAGGAAGGCAGTCCCTGCCCTCAGGAGGCTTACATTCTAATAGGTGGACCATGGATTTAGACGTGGAAGGGACCTTAGAGGCCATGAAAAAATCCCTGCCCGGTAGGGGTTCCGGGTTCCGACAGAATTTTGAGAGATGATGAGTAAGACGCTAGCAGAGTAGACCGACTCATTTTTTCCATCAGTACCTTCGATTACCGTTAGGGAACTGGAAAGGGGGGGAAGGGAGAAGGGGCGGGGGAGAAAGTGTGGCTGGGGAAGTGAAACAAGGGTGACTGGAACCCAGGCCTGGATGTAGCAATCCCCAGTCCGGGAATCGGGGCTCGGGGGCTCAGGGGCTCGGGGGCTCAGGGGCTCAGGGCAGGAGTTAGAGGTAGGAAAGTTAGGTCATAGTGTGAGTAGGTGGGACTGCGCCCCTGATGAAGGGGAAACGGCCACATTTCTTTCAAGAGATATTTTGAAACATAGATTTAGAGCTCAAAAAGTCCTCCCTCCAACTCCTCACTTTACATGACTCTGAAGCAGTCAGTCGATCAAGTGGCATTTACTAAGCTCCTACTATGTGCTCCATATTCACACAGTCAGTGATGGAATCTTGAAACTGAGTCTGCTTTTTTTTCCCTCTTTGGATCCTATTCCCAGAGCCTAGCACACCCAGCTAGCCTATAGGCAATTTAGTAAATATTGTTGATTGGTTGCCAGATTGATTTAGCGAACGGATTCAATTGCTACTGCGGGTCATGGGATTTAGAGCTGGAATCCATTAATCAATCAACAAACATTCATGGAATAACTACTATGCACCCGGCTCTAGCTAGGCTACTGGAAACTAGGTAACAACTATGAAAATTCTCTGTCCTCATGCACCTTCCCTTCTTTCAGATAAACAACATATGGGCACGTGTATAGACACAAAGTAATTTCAGAGAGCACACGTCTTAGGAAATCATTTATTCTAATTGTCCCTTCAAAGTTCAGTCCAAGAGAAGCCTTTCCTGATCTGCCCATGTGGCTGCTGCCTCCTCTCTGAGACTGCTTCCTACATATTTTTTAAATACTTACATGTGTAAATATTGTTTCCCCAGAAAGGATTTAAGTTTCTAGAGGGCAGGAATTGTTTATTTTTGATTTTGCTACCCCAGGACCTATCCTATAGGACAAAGGAATGGTCCTGGGATGCAATCAGCACTAGGGAATTGCCTGAATTATTGATATTAGATGACTTGCTCAGAGTAACAGTATCATCAGAGACAGAACTTTACCCATGTCTTCTGGTCTCCTAGACCAGCTCTAGCCACCATTCCAAGCTGCATCTTATTCCTAGCACCTAGTAAAGTATCTGGCATATAGTAAGTCCATAATAAAAGCCTATCAGTTGATTGCCAGCATGATGCATGGGATAGAGGGATGGGCCTGGAGTCAAGAAGACTGGAGTTCAAATCTAGCCTCAGATACTTACTAGCTGTATGACCATGAACAAGTTTCTTGAATTCAGTCTGCCTCAGTTCCAGCTTCCTTAAATGAAACATGAGAATAATAATAGCACTTAATAAATGCTTATTCCCTTTCCTTTAAAATGTTAGTTTAATAAACTGACTAATTTATTCTATATGCTTTTTAAAAATAACCCATTCTCAATCTGACCTTAGGGAATCGATCAACAAGCATTTTTTTAAATGCCTCTTATTTGTAGGCACTGTATTAAGCACTAGAAATAAAAAGGAAAAACAGCTAAAAAAATGAGGGGAGAGAATATGAATTTTAGGAAGATGAGAATCTTTGCTCACAGTCTAGTAGAGGGATAAAACACGAAGTCTTCTTCAAGCCTTCAGTGGATTCTTGATCGAGTTCATCCGAGTATCTATTCATTCAACAAACACATATTAATTGATTGCTCTATGCAAGGCACTGTACTAGCCACCCAGAATGGAAAAACCCAAGAAAAAGTAGCCTCTGTCCTGAAAGAATTTACATTACATTGGTATGATGTTGGGATTCCTTTCAAAGGCATAATCACAACTAGTCCCAGCCTTCTGATCTAGGGGTAGGGGGCTGGGAGCTCTTGTCTGTATCCTCCCACTCTGGGCTTCTCCAATGTTGTTTGGACATTCCTTCAGAGCTCTTGACATTCTGTGGGTACCAATGTAGCATCTCCAGCCCTTGCTACATGTGCTGCCCACTATTTTTCTGGGCATACATCTCCCAAAGCTTTTTTTTTTCTGTCATGTCCTGGGGAGAAATCATCATTTGTAATTTATTGACGCCTACTTAAGAGCCTTCATGCATTCCTCCTGGAGAGATAATAACAGATACCTGTAATATTCCATGAATGAGTAATATGGTATAATGGATAGAGTCTGAGAAAATGGGGTTCAACCCCAGTTTTTCCATTTTTACTTCTTCTGGACCTGGAATAAGGCAGACCTGAATTCAAATTTGACCTCAGATACTTCCTAGTTGTGTGACCCTGAACAAGTCACTTTACCTCTGCCTGCCTTCATTTCTTTGACTGTAAAATTGAGATGATAATAGCACCTACCTCCCAAGGTTGTTGTAAGGACCAAATAAGATAATATTTGTAAAGCACTTTGCAAACTTTAAAGAGCTATAT